GGGGGGGGAGTAAGGGATTTATAGTTTATTAAGTACATATTGATTTAACGAAAATTGATACGATATTTGAACCCTGATTACTGTCATAACAAGACATAGTATACTGTTACTGGGTTTGTTGTTCTCTCAGGGTCATCTTTTTAAAAAACTCAAGAGTTAAAAATACTAGATATTATCTTAACTGGGGTTAGACTACTGAGTGACGTGCAGTTTGAAATAAATGAGCACACAATAATCAAGTGATCCCCCCAACCCCCACCCCGTAGAAACCGCAACCAGTTATTTGAAAAAAGTATCTTTGCTGAAATTCCATGAAAGGTGTCAACATTGGCAATGTATGAAAAGATATGACTTTTTTTCTCTGTAAGAGGAATGGAAAGCAGACCTGAATTAGCTCAGGAGATATATTGCTAGAGTACGCTTCGGATAAGCCAGTTCGAATATCTAATAAAGGAATGTTCTTAAAGCTTCAACTGATTGGTAAGATTCTGACTTGGTCCTGAAAAAACATGAACACTAAACTACATGAAATTTTAACATCTGCAGAGAAAAATACGGTCCATGATAATTTATATTTGCTATGTAGAGTCATCGGTTGCTTATTTATGAGTAAGGTATACCGATAAAAGTAGATTTTTGGCCCTACTAACAAAAAGAGTTAAAAATGTCTTCACGCATAATGCCAAGGCGCCCCAGATCTGGCCCCACAGAGAGAGTGGGGACATTAAATGTGTATACATACTTTTTTAAAAACCTTCTCTGGCCACTGTTGCCATACTTTGTTGAGGGGAGGAGCAGTGTCTTTTCTTGTTTGTTGCATCGCCTATTGCATGATATTATTATTTTTGTCAAATATTGCTCTGACCCCCTCTATCCCTCTTTTCCTCGGCCTGCCTCTTCCTCGTAACCTATCTGATCCCAGGTTGTAAATTCTAACTGCATATCAAGTAGGGCTATTGAAGTTGGCTTTTATGGGTGTACCACATTCCGTTAGCAATCACTTACCCACGCCATTATCGGTCTCTTCGTCCACATAGCCGTCACAGTCGTTGTCCACGTCATCGCCTGCCACAGGGGCAGTCGGGTTACATACCTAAACAGTGGGACATATAGGCATTGAGTAAGTGGACAAGAGAGTACTGGACAGTGGGACACATAGGCCTGGAGTAAGTGGACAAGAGACTTACTGGACAGTGGGATACATAGTTTTGGAGTAAGTGGACAAGAGAGTAATGGACAGTAGAGCACATAGTTCTGGGAGTAAGTGGACAAGGGGCTAGCTCTACTGGACTGTGGGGCACATGGGCCTGAAGTAAGTGGACAATAGACTACTGGAAAGTGGGACATATAGGACCTGAGTAAGTGGACAAGAGAGTTCTGGTGGTGGAGCTCATATAAGTGCTTAATCAGCTGTTTTCAGTGCATTGTTCCCGTGAAGCCGAGAGCATTTCTGGGCGTTTTAGGGTCTGCTGTAAAGCTAATAGAGCATACCACTGGCTATAGAGCTTTGACATGCTGATCTCATCATCATCATCATCATCATCATCACCATCATCATCATCATCATCATCATCATCATCTTCATCATCATTATTATTTTTTTCATCATTATTATTACTTTTATTATCATTATCATTATTATCATTATCATTATTATTATTA